AATGCCGAGAGTAATGCAAATGCTTATCGAGGTTAGCTTTAATGAAATATGTTATTGTCTAAGTGACAAGATTTATTGAGTTTATGTTATGAAATTTTAATATCTGTAGAGCTAACTTTTTTCTAATTAACCTTATAAGGAACTGAGTATTGTTTCAGCTTTATTACTGAACAGAATTAAACTCCATCTGAGTCACTGGCTGTCGCCCTTTAAAATTGTCCTTTGACTTACAATGCTTTACGATCTGTCTTAATGTTTGCATGACTGTTTGTTAATCAGCTATATTGGTGGTATTTATAAAGTAAAATCAAGTTGCAGCCTTTCAGACTTGTTTGAAATTGTTGATACAAATTAAATATGTACAACGGCAGGGTAAAATGTAAACCAGTGCACTGTTGGGAAAGTCTTAAATTAGAGGCTATATTCACAGTGTCGTCTTTCAAATCTAGCTGTGCTGTAAACTGATGTTTGCTGTATGCTCCTCCTGATTTGAAATAGATGAAAGAAAATGAACCTATTATCACCATGGTTCACACAATGATTGAGAACTCGGCGCTAAGACCACAGCTGTACCAGCAAGTAAGGTCTTGGACAGTGAATGACACTGCTTTGCCATCTGCAAAACCCCTCAGTGACAGTTTTGGTTCATCCTCAGATCCGCTCATCACATCACATCAGTGTTTTTCCTTGTCTCATTTTTATTTTTTGTTTATTTGGGAAACCATACTTCACCCGTGCTTCCCGGGATGCTGCGGTGTTCTTCGCATGGCTTTGCTGAACATCTTCCATTGAACACTAAGTGTGTCATTTCCCTCAAGTTCTCGTGTAGAGTAGTTGACTGATGTGTACTTGGAGGTCTGCAGTACGGATGCAAATTTTTACTAGCGTTCCATGTTTTTACTAACTCTGAAAGCATAACAACTGAATTGTAGGGAAAGGGCTTTTAAAATTGTTTTCCTTTCAACACAGTCCCCCAAACCTCTTGTACCCCAGTGTTTTAGGAAGAGATTGCATTCATATGGGAGTTACTTGAATCTAGTCTCTGAGAGACGGGGTAAAACCTAGCCCGTTTCCTTACCTATGAGCAGAGTCTTCCCTGAATTCTTACCAGTCTTACAGTCATCATCTTACCCCTTTCTTTTCTCTAAATCCAAATATGTGACCTGAAGCAAGCTGGCTCTAATTTAGGACCTTGGTGATCTGCAGATCTGCAAAAGAAGTCATGCACATTCTCTCCAGTTGTTTTGTATTCATGGTCTAAACGTCCCTGGCCGTGTGTCCACATCAGCTTCCTCCATGTCAGCCCCTGGGGGGACTCCGGGCTGTGGCCTGGTACAGTATCTAAAACCATCCAGAAGAAGAAAATTGACTAGCATGAAAAATGAATGTGGGTTTAATCAGAACGTAGTAAAGCACCTGTGAAAAGAAGCCCCCCCTACCCACCCCTGGCTCCCACTGGCCGTAAAGGCCCGTGTTTGTCCTCGGGATTCACCCTGGGCTCCGTCACGAGGAGATGGACATGAGAGTGAGAGGATGACTCCTATTTCCAAGCCCAGCTTGCAAAATATTCAAAATACATTTCATGATTGAAAAGTTTTTAATTTGCAGTAAAGAGATAAAAGGTTAAATATTTAAAGTTAAACAGCTTTACTGTTCAAAAGACGAAAGAATCTTTTGGTTCTTTTTTGGTGTTTCGAGACAGTCTCCTACATGGCCTGGGACTTGCAAGCTTCCTTGTGGAAATGTCTGAAACTGGTCTGACAGCCTCACCTACCTGAATCCTGAAAGAGCAGTGTATTTGTATATATCTTCATGTTAATACTTGAAAGACAAAAACCAGAACTGTACACATAGAAAGGTCTGAATATCTTACTCTCGGCAGCCAGACCTGCCTGTTTACTAGAAAATCAATGTTACCCCTGGTGGCAAGAGTAGGGAATCTCAAGCTATATCTTTTCTTTTTTTTTTTTGATGGGACTGCAGTTTGAACTCAGGGCTCACACTTGCAAAGCAGGTGCTCTTCCACTTGAGCCTTACCCCCAGTCTATTTTATGCTGGTTATTTTGGAGATAGGATCTCATGTACTTTTTGCCTAGATTGGCCTCAAACCATGATCCATCTGATCCCATTCTCCAGGTAGGTAGGATTACAGGTGTAAACCACCACTGCCTGGCTTGTGTTTGTTTTTGAGATCATCTTGCTAACTTTAGCACTACTGATTTGATTTTTTTTTTTTTTTGTCGGTACTGGGGCTTGAACTCAGTGCCTACATCTTGAGCCACCCCACCAGCTCTTTTTTTGTGATGGGTATTTTCGAGGTAGGGTCTCTTGAATGTTATTGCAGTAGAACATCTGCCTCATAAGCGTGAAGCCCCGATTCCACAAAAAAAAAAATAGATCGATAAATGATAGATATATAGATAATCATGAGCCTAAATATGCAAAACTTAATTAGAATATGTGAAATTTATGTTTTTCCTACTGGTAAAATTTTTTAATTTAAGGCCAAATAGCAAAATTTTCAATCCTAGATAGACAGATTTTCTTAAGTAAATTATATCCATCTTTTCTTTAAAAATCAAAAAGCCCCAGTAATTACTATCAGCAGTGGAAACTAGGCCATGCTTGGATTTGGCTTTTTAAGAGAATAATCTTATGCTGTTCTTCTCACACGAAGAAACAGTAAGTAGGGAGGCTGGATTGATTTGAGGATTTAGTTAGTTGGTGTCCAATGAATATCTATTGGGTAAATCAATTTAAAAAAAAAAAAAAAAAAGCTCAAAGAAAATTTCCAGCCGGGCATGGTGGTATACATTATAATTCCAGCCACTCAGGTGGCTGAGGCAGGACGGTCACAAATCTGAGGCCAGAGGATGCAGCTTACCCAGACATTATCTCAAAATATAAGCAAATTAGGTGTGCGCTTGCAGTTCAGTGGTTTGAACACCTGCCTGGCATGTGTAAGGGCCTGGGTTCAATGCTCAGTACAGAGGAAAAGGAGGCGCAGGGAAGCCATTGTCAGTATGTCACTGTATATGTATAATATAGTTATGTGACTGTGAAGACACCGTCCAACAGTTGTAACTACACAGTTGGACATGTCTTATAATATGCCAACTGATATTAAAATGAATCTGTAGTAACATTCTTTAAATAAAAATAGTATACCAGTTTCAAAATATTTATTATACATTACAGTTTCTTTTGGGGGACCTTGTGCTTATGAGGTGGCACCCTTCTGTTTCCATTTTATTCTGCAATTCTTTTTTCTTCTCACCCTTTAACTTCAGTGTGGTACTGTCCACTAGTTAAGTTCAAATTCCACGGTTTAGTAAAGCTGTGTTGCGTTTAACTTTAAATATTAAGCAGAATATATTGGAATATATATAATATATATATTCAGGCCTTTCTTCTTTCTTATAAATGTGAAGAACTAACTGTCATTGTCTTAGATTTTCTGTCACAGATCTAAGCATTGTTAAATTCATTTTCATTGCTTTTCCAGGTAGAAATGTAGATGCTTTTCTTGGATCTAGGTGCTTTAATTAAGAATGACAATTGACTTCTTATTTACAGTAGCACACAGGTATTCTGCCTTTTGCCACTAAATTCATTTTTCATGTAATGTTCATTTCTATGAAAATGTGGCTTAACGATCACCGTGCATATCCTTAACTAGTCACAGACTCATTTGCATGAGGAGTGGGAGTGATGTCTTGAGATGAAACATGCAGATCCAGGATTTATTGAATGTTTGGAATGCTCATATTTTTTAACCTCTTCCCCATCCCAGTATTTCTGCTCCCAATAGCTGTCTGCTTATTTTAAAGATGCGCCTGCCAAGCTGATTTTTACAGAGGGGAAGCATGCATTTATACTTCTTATGTGTTTATAGATATATACAAAACTTACCTTTACAAACTAAGCTGTAGTTGGGCATGCCGCTCCCATCCCCTATCTCAAGAGGAAGTGTGCCCTTTAGTGCACATGCAATTTGAGCCCTCATTTTCCTGCTAGGTTTTCGCTACTGTCTAGCAGTGGATGCAAAATCAAAAGATAGGCGAGATAGTGAAGTAAGACCTACAGAGGCTCTCACATCGCATAGTTGATTGAGATGCCTGGTGTAATCTTGGTAAGCACATCAGAAGTGAAGAGGCTACAGAAGTGATGTGTAAATACACTGAAAAGTAATTCCTTCCAGGGCTGGGGGTGTAGCATAGTGGTAGAGTGCTTGCCTGTCGTGCATGGCCCAGGGTTCTATCCCCAGCACAGCAGAAACAGTAATGAATAAGAATTGCTTGTACCATATTAATACAATTGGTATCAACCAACAGCTATAAAGTTTCTATGAAATTTGACCGTTATGAGTTTATAATGTAGCCTTTCAGTTTTATGAGGTTCCAAATAATTTCCTCTTTTCAATTAAACCCATCCTTTTCCTCCATTATCTTTTAGTTCTTAAGACAGAAGAACAAGATAAGTTTATACTGTGTATGTGTGTTTTATATTATGTATATGTATACGATGTTACAGGCTTTGTTAAGAAAGTTGTACTGAGATGTGTTCGCATTCCAGTGTACACGTAGGCAGTGTGGTTATGTGTATGCCTTAAGGACAGTCCTAACTGTTGAACTATGCTTGATTTGAGTACTTTATTCAGTACAGTTGCTATGAATGTATCGGTCCATTTTTCATTAAAGTAACATTTGTCTTCAAGATGGAAAATGTAAGGTGCCGTATTAATTTTGTTTGGCCGGCTTATTGTTTGAGAAGCTTCAGTTTACATCATTCTGATGTGTCTTGCATATTGCATCATTGTAAAGCATTTTTCTACTTTTGTAATGGTCTGTGTTTAATTAAACTTCTAAAAGTTTAAGGTCATTAAAATCCTCCTTGTCATATTGTTATATAGCTGATATAAATTTAAAGTATTAACTATAGACTAAGCAGATTTCTTAAACATGACTTTTAAAGTTGCAATGTGGCATTTTTTCTTGTAGCTGTCACAAGATGAATGTAGAGGCACAATGTACAAATACAGACCTGAAGAAGTAGATACTGACGTAAGTATGATACCTGTTGTCAGTGCTGATAAAGCTTTGTCCATGTTTTTTTTTGAGACATTAGGAGAAGTGGTGTATTACCCTGTTGAAATCAGAGTCACTTCTCAGATTCTCAGCATTTAAAAGTAGGATAGTACCAAGAACCCCAAAGAATAAAACTAGGGCCAGGGATGCAGCTTGATGGTAGAGCACTTTTTCCTACCATGCATGAGGCTCTGGGTTCCACCCTCAGGGAGAAAGATGACTGATAGACAGACAGACAAACAGACTGACTGACTGACCATGTACCAAGCCACTTGTCTGTAGGCCCAGCTCCTGAGAGGCTGAGGTGGGAGGATCACATGAACCCAGGAGTTCAAGACCAGCCTGGGCAGCATAGCACGACCCCATCTAAATTAATATCAAAAGGGATTTTTCTGTGACTGGAGGTGTGGCTTAGGTAGTAAAGCACCTGCCTAAGCAAGTGTGCATCCCTGAGTTGAAACCCCAGAACTGCCAAAAAAAAGATTTTTCTCCACAAGCAATGTTTTTCTTTTATTGCATTGAAGGAAGGACTTGGCCCATCTAATAGACTCTAGGGGAAAACTCTTAACTATACTGAATTATTAGAACTGGAGTCCTAGACTGCTTAATCACTAAGGACATTTTGAGCCGTGTAAGTTAAGTATAGCTGGAATGTTTTTCATCAAATTTTGTATGCATATTACTTTTTAAGTATATTTCATCTTTATAGGCTGTGTACTCATTTTAATGGCTCTGACTGAAATAAAAAAAAGACCTAATTATGTATTATGCAGCTGTTCTAAATGGCCACCTACCCCAATTTACAGTAAAAATTTAAAAACTGCTAACAAAATACTTCTCCCCTCTCCTCCCCGCCCAGGCCAAGCTCAGCCGCCTGTGTGAGCAAGACAAAGTGGTACACGCCCTGGAAGAGAGGCTGCAGCAGCTCCACAAGGAGAAAGTAGGACAATTAGGTTCCTTCCCTACACCTGATGCTGATGCTGCTTTCTATGTCATCAGGACACTGATGAGGAAAGTAAGCAGTGTTCCTTCAGTGGGACAGAATACTAAGGGTGTTCTTTTCATTGCAATAGTACACACTCGAGCAGGCTTTGCTGTCAGCCAGCCAGGAGATAGAAATGAATGCCGCTAACCCGGCAGCCATCCAGACAGTGGTACTACAGAGGGACGACCTGCAGAACGGACTGCTGAGCACCTGTCGGGAGCTCTCTCGAGCCACTGCTGTAAGTACATTTTTTTCTCCTACTAAAAGTCACTGAAAACCTCAGCACTCAGGAGACCAAAGCGGGAAGATCTCGAATTGAAGGTCAGCCTGGACTATAGAGGAAGCCCCTGTCTAAAAAGGAAAAAGAAAAAAAAAAAAAAATCACGGAAAATTACACAGTTCTTTTTTCCTTTCTCACTGTTTATAATTAGGCAGTCTTTAGGATTATTCTTTATTATTATAGCAAGAAATATTAGCCAAGCATGGTGGTGCACATCTGTAATCCCAATATTTGTGTTTAGGAGAATAAAAATGAAGGGTGATCTTTATTTCTGTAAGTAGTAGACATTTTGTTCTTTATGAAATGGGCTTTTACAGAGCAGATAAGTATTTTCTATGTCTTACGCAAATAAAAATCCTTGAATGTTTAAATGTTCATAGTGTTAAGAAAAATATTTTGTGAATTTTAGAGGATTTAGGGTAATTTGGGGATGCTGGTAATCGGATCAAACAGGCATGTCAATAAAAGTTTAAAGAAACCAGTGGTGCCTCTCAGAGCTGCTGTGTGGTCTGAGTTCTGATGATAGGTTTGAGTAAGAAGTTTAATTGGCAGGATCTTTTAACCTTTAGTTGCGTGACTTTTTATGTGTCTCTTGGGATTACCAAATCGCCAAGTCCTGGTTAGAGTTTATAAATTGTTTTATGGGCTTTGGCAGTCTGTTTTAACCCTGTGATATTGTCCTCTTTACACATTTGTGAACGCCTCACCAAGCAGCCCCTTGAGGAAGGGCTCACAGAAGCCACCTTGTTACGGAAAACTGGACCTCCCATGGCCGTGTAGTGGGGAGGTCCACAGACAGCACAGCCTGACTAAGGGGTTTTTCCAAACTTTCAGGGTAGCAGAATCTACGTGGCCTGCCTTCTGAACACCAACGTAACGTTCCAAATATTGTTTGAGTTGTTTTTTGTTTGTTTGGCGGCACTGGGGTTTGAACTCAGGGCCTCACCCTTGCCAGGCAGGCATTCTTACCACTTGAGCAACTCAGCCAGCCCTTGAGTTGTTTTTTTTAACTTACTTTTAAAGGAATATACCTTGGTTTTAAGTAAATGACAACCTGGTTTTTGTGATTCTAAAGTATCTTACATTTGTTTTTGGTTTTTGTTTGTTTTTTTGAGATCGAGAGTCTCACTATATAGCCCAGGCTGACCTCAAATTTGTAATCGTCCTTCCTCAGCTTCCCAAAGTGCTGGGATTATAAGTATGTGGCACTGTCTTATATTTCTCTTCCCGTTTTTGAAATACTACTATTTCCATTATCTCAGTTGACTTTCTTAATTATGCTTTGGTATTTATAGACTTAAAAAATTATATGCCCTTTCCATTGTGAACCGTGTAGCATTTATCCGTGTTGGTTTAGCATCCAACACGGATGCAGCTCTGTAGGAACATGCATTAAAAATTCGATGACTGATGACCTGAATCACTTACACAAGGTGACAGAGCTAATAAATAATAGGCCTAGAACTCTGATCCCAGTCTCATCATCATAGGCCTGAAGACAAGGGTCTATGTGGACTTTTACGATACAGTCATAGAGGAAATATTAACTGTAAGAAAGTACTCACAGCTGGGCTCCAGTGACGCAATCCTGTAATCCCAGCTGCTTGGAAAGATGAAATTAGGAACATGGAGGCTCAAAGGCAGCCCAGGCAAATAGTTCTCAAAACCCCATCTCCAAAATAGCCAGAGCAGTATGGTTCAAGTGGCAGAGAGCCTTCTTTGTAAGCATGAAGCTTACAGGATAAAGCACCGTGACCTGCAGCTCAAGGGATGAGAATACAGGGGACATGTTTGGAGACGCATTCAACAGAACTAACTGCTGACTGGAGGACAAGACCCTTGTAGACCCTTGTAGAGGACAGACATTGTGACAATAGAAAGAGAGAAGGGAGTAAATGTCAATGCCAAGATAACAAAAACTCAAGTCAAATCAAAATGGCGGCTGTACTGACTTTGAGTTGGAAACAAATGACTTAATTTGTTCTTGAAATTCCAATTTTAGAAAGGTTTTTCCTTTACCAGCTGGATTTAGTACCCTAAATCTCATCCAGAGACTTAGAACTTATTCCACCCAAAGGTTAACTACAGCCCTTGGAGGAAGTTTATTAAAAATGTCTTGATAGAAGCTATGCTGTCTGAATGCCCTCTTCCTGGTTGTTGCCCTCTATATCCACTCTCCTGGTTTCTTTTTCCTTGCCTTCAGCATTGATCAGTGGCCATGACAAATGCTCTGAATGTGTTCCTCTAAGACATGTCTTCCCACATATAACGCAAATGATTATTTGTGTCTTTATGGTAACTTACTTATATTTGGGACTTCATGCTGCAAACGCTGGTGTGTGCACACTTTCTGGGCATACGGCTGGCACTCGAGAGTGCTGACTAGGTTTACTTACACTGACTGAGTCCCAAAGGGTTCCCGTGATTCTTTCACAGTTAGTTCGTTGAGATCCAAGCCCCGGGCACAGAGGTACAACATTTGAGCTTCTGCAGATCAGAGCCTCAGTTTTGAGGACGGCCACTCCTCACCTGGCAGGCCACGAGAGCACATAGACCAGGATGCGCGTGGGTTAAGCCAGAGGCAGCTTCCCCTGAGTGTTTGCTTGCTCCTGATGTCACAGCTCCTGTCCTATGCCCACCCCTCAATGGTATTCACGCCTGGTGCCTTTGGATCGCTCCTGTCTCCACTTCTTATTTAAAAGGTTGTACTAATAGTCAGATATATCTTCAAACCAGTTTTTAAGGTGTCACTGTTGCAGTTTGGATCTGAAAACAGAGCTTGAGATGTAAACCGGGCTCTTTGAGAGCTGATTTGGGAGATGATTGCAGAAAGAAGAAATGAGGGTGTGAGGAGGAGACAGGAAAGAAGAAAAGCCAGTAAACATAGTGCTGCTGAGCGGTTACCACGACGCACAATGGGGCTTCCTTTCCCTGTGAGGGCATGAGCAGAACACCGAAGAATCACCCACTAAGGAGTGGGAAGCTGGGGGTCCATCGCCCTGGGATCCTTCATTCCCTGGCACTTCTGCAAGGCAGTAGGGCAGGGAGCTCCACAATCAGCGGCTCCATCACCACTGGGAAGTCACATCTGTCTCTGTAAATGTGAGAGGAAGTGTATGTGTGACTTACGACAACTCAGGGAGCAGATAGAGCTGGTGTTACTCATGTCACAGATGAGGAACCAGAGGCTCAGAGAATGAACCACTGATAATAGCAGCTATGTGTATTGATACCTCTCCCGTGAATTATCTGGGTCGGAATTTAGAAGAACCCTGTGCAAAACAATGGGAAGAGCTTCTCCATTTCATTCTTGTTTTTAGCACCTCCACCCACAGGTGAAGAAGCTGAGGTTTGTGGAGATTGAGTGATTTGTGGAGGTGACATAAGGAATGAGGAAGACAATCGGTGTCTAGCCAAGGACGTTTAATTTAATTTGCTCTATCTGTTCAGCTTCACTGTCTGGTTTTGTAACTTCAATCTTCTGCTATTTAGGATTAAATCTCAATTTTTCTCACTTAAAAGTCAAAAATTAAGGTGTAGTTTAGTGGTAGACCACTTGCCTAGCATGCACAAGACCCTGAGTTTGATCTACAGCACCACACAAAAAAATCTAAAATTAGTGGCTCAATAAGGGATTTCAGGGGCTGGTAGAGTGGCTGAAGCCATAGAACCCCTGCCTAGCAGCACAAGGACCTGAGTCCAAACCCCAGAACCACCAAATAAATAAACAAAAGAATGTCTGGCATCAGAAAGCAAGTACAGTAAGTTAGGTTATGATAGTACACGTGTATAATTTCAGCACTCAGGAGTTTGAACCCAGCCTGGGCTATATACCAAGACCCTTTCAGAAAAAAAAGGCAGATTGGGGAGGCTGGGTGCCAGTGGCTCACGCAGGTAATCCTAACTGCTTGGGAGGCTGAGCTCGGGAGGATTACAGTTTAAGGCCAGCCTGGGCAAAAAGTTTGTGAGACCTCATATCCAAAGTAACCAGAGCAAAATGGACAATATATATGTAGACATACATACATACATACACACACACACACGTATTTGTGAGTTACTGCTCCTTTTTAATTGCCTAAGTGTACATATATACATTTGGCCAGAAAAAAAGGTTTTGTTTTGTCTTGTTTTTGGCACATTATGATTTGAACTCAGGGCCTTGAGCTTGCTAACCAGGTGTTCTTATTGCTTGAACAACTCCACCAGCCCAAAAAAGTTGTTCTTAACGTTTTTAACATTGTACTGGTATAAGCCATTATTTTTTATTTTGTTGGCAGTACTAGGGTTTGAACTCAGGGCTCCACTCTTGCTAGGCCAGCATTCTATGACTTGAGCCATGCCTCCAGCAAATTGTTAATGAAAACTGGGCACCAGTGAGTCACACCTGTAATCCCAGCTACTAGAGAGGCAGAGATGGGAGAATCTCCCTTAAAGCCAGCCTATCTCAAAATACCCAGCATTAAAAAAAAAAGGCTGATGGAGTGGCTCAAGTGGTAGAGTGTGTGCCTAGCAAGTGTGAGGCACTGCTGCCCAAAAAAAACAAAAAAGAAGAACCAAACATTTCTGAGATTTTATTTTCTGGGGTGATTTTCCTTTTTCCAAAGGGCAAAAGTCTAGGCAGGTAGTTTCTATACTGAGTCTCTATGAGAAGATTCACTGAACTGTTCATATAATAGCAAAATTAATTTGTTGTGTTGCATTATTGTGCATTATTCTAAGTTACAGAAAATCCAATACACTAACATATAGAAAATTTACTGTTTTTATTCATGGAAAACTTATTTCTAATTTTTATTATCGTGTATTAGTTATACTGGGGGATTTCATTTATCTTACAGGGCATCTTAATTGGATTTACCCTTCATCATTCTCCCTCATTATTCATGGAAAACTTTTAATCAGAGCAAATAGGAATATTTTATTTATACTTCTTCTGCATTTAAGGAAATTACCTTCAATAAATTACCACATTGCTAAGCTATTTCCTCAAAATAATACTCTTTAAATGATAGGCATACATATTTTGATACCATGAAGGAATAAAAAATAGTTCAGGTGAGTTTTGTTTTATTTTAGTTAACAGGAACACAGTGTAAATACTTAAGTTGCCCAGTAAATTCTTTTTCTAAGTAGATTTTATTAGGCTCTATTCATGACACAGGAGGGTTTCGTAGTGACAGTTCGGGCTGCACTTACATTGTACATTAGTTACATTGCCCCACCATCTCTCCCCTTTAGTCCCCTCCCCGCCGAATTTAAAGCAGTTGCAGGAGGTTTTCTAGTTCTGTTTCACACAGGTCTATTGAACTGAATAAAAAGAAGACAGGAAAGAAGGTGAGCTTTCTTTGGCCACTGTAAACGACACCACTTTCTCAAGGCTAGCAGTGCTGTGTGCGTGATAACGGTGACAGCCATCTTCCCTCTGCTTCAGGAGCTGGAACGGGCCTGGAGAGAGTGCGACAAGTTGGAGTGCGAGGTCACCATCACCCGGGACCAGATGCAGGAGCAGCTGGGCCGGCTGGGTGAGGTTCAGGTATGGTCCGAGCTCTTTCTATTGATTTTGACTGTTTCATCAGCCGCCCGCAACCGTCTGTGCCCCCGAGTACTTGTCAGTGACAAGAGTCTTCCTGTCGCAGCAACCGCTCCCTCTGTGGGTCACCTGGGGAGCCTTGAGGTGTTCTCTGCTGCTCCATAACTGCCTTAGCTCAGTCAGCAGTGCCTAGAAGTTTGGCTTCAGACTCTGACAAGTCCATCTGTGTCACTTGATTTTGTTTTTGAGACAGTTTTCAAATGTAGTCCAGACTGGCCTCAAACTGGAGCTCCTCCTGCTTCAACCTCCAGAGTGCTGGGATTACAGGTGTGCACCACAATGCCCAGTGAGTTACATGAATATTTATCATATAATATTTATTTTTAATTTTTAAAAATTGTCCTGATCCATTCTGTACTAAATACCAGTCTTTTTGCCAGACTGTATTTAACCTTGTGTCTTGACTGGCATGTTATTAGAATGGGGAAATGATTCATTCAGTATAAACAACCCTGTTTATACATATATACATACACATATATATACATATATGTTTAAAAATATAATAAATGTCATTTTATACTTACAATCCTATGTAAATATGATAATCTGCATTGGAACAGAAAAATCAGTACAACAAATAAAAGGTAAGTAAGAAGCCAGACAGAGTGGTGCACACCTGTAATCCAGGTGTGCTGAGGAGGCTAAGGCCCAAAGTTCATAAGTTTGTGCCCAGCCTGGGCAATTTTTCGAGACCCTATCTCAAAATAAAACAGGAGTGGGGATGGTGTACCTCAGTGGTGAAGCACTTGCCTGGCATATGTGAGCCCTGGGTTCATCCCTAGTTCTGCACACCCTCCCCCCCAAAAAAAAGATACTAAAAGTCACAAGATTAAGATATTCCCGGGGGGTGAGGGGGGCAGCCTTGGTGTTGCAGGCCTGTAATCCCACTTCTGAAGAGCCTGAGGCAGAGACCTTGTCTCTAAATAAACAAAATAAGTAAAGAACTAGAAGGCACACTGAATGTAGCATTGTACGTTTAACCTTAGACGGGTTACATAGCAGCTCTGTCTCATTTTTCACAAGAATAAAAAGAAAATGATAGTACTTCCTCCTGTATTAGGTTATTATAAGGACTAAATGTGTTGATACTTTTGAAACACTTAGGATAGAATAAAGTCACAGAAAACACTTCATAAGCATTTGTTAAATGAGCCAATGTAACACAGAACCACAGTATTTAATGTGGACAGGAAGAAATGGTCGACTGGGGCAAGAATGCAGGCGAGAGCTTATAGCAAGACAAAGACAGATTATAATCGGAGGTGCTGGAGTGCAAGCTTCCTGGACTCCCTTACTGTGCCCTCATATCAGAGGTGAACTTCAAGTGCATGACACACCTGCCCACTGCCCATGAAAGGCAAAGAAGCTGGGCACAGAGGTGTAATCTCAGCACTCTGTAGGCTGAGACTGGAGGATCAGAAGTTTGAGGTCAGCCTAGACTGTATAGGAAGATTCTGTCTCAATCCTCCCCACCAAAAAAAAATAAAAATAAAAATAGGAAATGCAGGCTGAGGACAGACTTCTCGAACACATCCCGAAATATGCTGTCCACAGGTCAGGGGCGAGAGGGAGAAGGACTGCTAAAGATGTTTGGCTTTACTGAGCTGGGCACGGTGGTCCCCAGTGACAAACAACCAGGGTTCTGTGCCTCAGAGGACTTTCTAGCATACTGATGAAATAAATACTGTATTCTGTTACCTGTACACTGAGTATCAAAAATGATACCTGGTGAGAGAAAGGGTTTTTCTGTATAACGTGACTTTGTTTCAGTTTTAGGGTTTGGGTTTTGGTAGGATTTGGGGGGTCATTTTGCTTCTAGTTTTTATTTTGGTTTCAGTGCTGCAGACTGAGCCAGGTCCTTGCCTCACACATACTAACTGACCTACCCTCAACCCCCTGTTTATGGAAGTTTTTTTATTTTTTATTTTTTATTTTTTGATGGCACTGGCGCTTGAACTGAGGGCCTCACACTTGCCAGGCTGGTGCTCTTACTGCTCGAGCCACTCCACCAGCCCTAATGCCGTTTTAAAAACAAAGTTACATTCCTAAAAAGTGTATTCTTACTATCTTACTTTTCTGTGAGACTCATATCATATCATTCTAGTAGAACCTTAGTGAGTGAAAACAGTGCAATTTTATTCTGGTCACTTGGTATGTTTAGCCTAAAGACATGACGTGTGTATTAAAATTTTAAAAAGTAAATATTTGAGTTCCAAGATTGAAATTCTGTCCTGTAGACACAGTTGTTTAATCCTGTCGGACAAACTTATCTGAGCGTATTTCCTTGGTGGCCTTCTTACGTTCTAAGACCTAAGAAGTGGTATAGCACCCCTCCCATCCTCAGTGATGTGTCCAGAAACTCAGTGAATGCCTGAAACTGCTAATATTCCAAACCCCATATGCAATGTTGTTGTTTTTATGGGGGATGGGGTGCTGAGGGTTAAACCTAGAGTCTTTGGAATGCTGAGTCAGAGCTGTACCCCTGCTACACCACCATTCAGACATACATTCCCATGATAGTGTTTATTATAGGATTGGGCACAGTACAAGGTTAGCAACAATAACTAATAATCAAGTAGAATGAAGGCCTGGCTGGTGGTGCAGGCCTGTGGTCCCAGCTGCTCAGGAGGTGGAGGTAGGAGAACTGTGGCTTGAGGATAGCCCCAGTGCTAGTACCAGATCCTATCTGAAAAACAAACTAGAAGCAAGGGCTGGGTGTGGTTCAAGTGGTAGAGTGCCTGCCTAGTCAGCGCAGTGCCCTGAGTTCAAATTCCAGTACCTCCAGAATAAATCAAAATACAATAAACGGCTGGAGATGGAGCTCAATGACAAAGGTTGCCTACTGTGCACAAGGCCTGTGTTCAACACCCAGTACAAGAAAAGAAAGAAAAACATGATACCTATTCTTGCAATCTTCCATTTAACATTTTCAGAGCACAGTTAATTGTGGGCATCTGAAACCACAGCAGGTGGAAGTGCACAGGAGGGAGGGCTACTGTACTTCCTTTCACTCGGGATTAGTGAGTTTCTATTTCCCATTTGAAGTCCCTCCTCATATGGATGCTTTCCTGGGATGGTGACTTGTGCCAGTCTGAAAAGTTAAATGCTCTCTTTCTCTGCTTTGTCCTTCGTCTTTGCCATGGGAGTCACACAATTAGGAGAGTCAGATACATCATGCTAAGTGTTCTGTCTGTGTGCATCTGTGTGTGTCTGTCTTGTCTATCCATCTGTGTGTGTGTTGTGTGTGTGTGTGTGTGTGTGTGTGTGTGTGTGTCGCTGGGGGTCAGATTCAGGCTAGGCAAGTGCCCTACCACTGAGCTACGTTCCCCAGCCTGTACTGGGGATCAAAATGGTAAATATTCCTAAACTAATCCACTGCAGTCCTCGTGTATGGACGTGACTAGTGGCGCTCACAGCTTTCCTCTCTCTCGTGCGGCCTGTGGGCTTTGCTGACAGACCGAGTCTGCAGGGATCCAGCGCGCACAGATCCAGAAGGAGCTGTGGAGGATCCAGGACGTCATGGAGGGGCTGAGCCAGCACAAGCAGCACAGAGGCGTCTCGGAGGCGGGTGAGCTGCCTACACGGGATGGCTCACGGCACTGAGTCCTTCTGTTGTTTAAGTGGCTTCTGTCACATCAGAAAACAAGCACTGTGTCATGTTGAGTCAGTGCACAAGTTTGTAAAGTAAAAGGTTCTGCCAGCCACCACCACACAGAAATAAGCGTTTTCTCCTGCAGCTTCTCATGGGGGAGAGAGTTCCTACTGCACCTTCTTTGAGCATGTGGATTCGTTATGTGGGGTTGTGTAGGGCTCAAGCGGTAGATTGCCTAAGCACAGGCCCTGACTTCAAATCCCAGTGCTTCACTTATCTGTCTGTTTCCAGTTGGTGGACATGTACTTTGTTTCCAGGACTTTGTTTTGTTTTGTTTTTTAACTGTCAGTAAGCTATGCTATAGGGAACATTACTATTCATATAACTGAACACACCAGCTGATGACTACAGACTCTAACAAGGGAGAAATAAGCACATATTTCCCATTGGGATGGCTGTAGCCAAATTGCCCACCTAAAAGTTTATATCATATTATCCTTATACCAGCTATGTTTGAGAAAATCCATTTCCCATAGATTTTTTTTTAATCATATTATTGTTGTACTTGGGGTTCAAAGTGATATTTATAAAATCTCTTACAATATATCCTAGTTGAATTCACCCTCCATCATTCTCCTTTTCCCCGTAGTTTTATTTAACCTAAATGTTTTGGTTTGTATGGCTCACGTGGTAGAACACCTGCCTAAAAAGTGAAAGCTCTGCATGAGCTGGGCATGGCAGCACTCAGGAGGCTGAGGCAGGAGGATCATAAGGCTGAGGCCAGTGTGGGCTATATAGTGAGACTGTCTCAAAAAACACAAAGATAAGTAAATGAAATAAGTGAAGTGAAATCATTCTTTGTGTAGATTTAGAATGTGTGTTTAGTTTAAGTAATGTTTTCTAATATTTTTCCAACAGGTATGGCTGGATCAAAGCCTTTCTCAACAGTTAAGTACAAAAGTGAGGTATGTTTGGATTTTTTTCTAACTATAAGTTATTTTAAACGTTTAACACATGAAATTAGGCATAATTCATGTTTTATAACAGAAGTGTTTTTAACTATATTGAAATCATTTTAGTCTTGACGTTTATTGGTTCAGCAATTTGGTGCTTCTAACATTTTTCTTCCCTTAAAGCAAAATTTTAAAAAGTCACAATTTTTCATCTATGTTAGAACTTTAACTCATACTTTTTCTGAGCAATTTGACTATTTATCATGGTTTCTTCTAATGGGTACAGTTTGTAGGATAATTGATAGATAAGTTGGCTCTGTGTGATGCATGATGGATGCAGAGAAATTATAACTACAAAGAGATACTGTCAACCTAATGAAAGACTCTGTGGTCTTGAATTTTGTAGACAAGCCAATCAAAGAGAAATGTTTTTATTTTTCTTAGAAATTACAAAAAAAATAGCAATATTGGTAAAGGAATCTTTTCCTTCTCTTTTTAAAGCAAAATGCTGTAGTTTCACGCAGCAGACTGCTTTGGTGAGCTTCAGTGAGCCAGCTTGTGTGTTGTGATAAAACCAGAGGCAACTGTATTTAAACCCACTGCTGGCTATCATAAAAATTGGGGCTTTCACTTTTCAATGGTACTTTTTGCTTGGCAGTGTCCCTTTACATATGATAGATTTAAGTTCATGCACCTGTGCAAAGAATTGAGATGTGCTTAACTCAATCTGCTTGTCTAAATAAGGTGACTGTTCTACAATCTTTAGGAAGAGGAAGTAGTCCCACCTCGTCCTCCACTTCCTCGGTCCTATGACTTTACAGAGCAGCCTCCCATAGTCCCCCCTCTGCCCAGTGACAGCAGCTCCTTGCTCTGTTATAGCAGGGGCCCAGTGCATCTGCCTGAAGAGAAGAAGGTGCCCCAAGTTCAAGGACATCCAAGAAATGGATCTCACTGTGTAAGTGGCTGCCATGGCCACCAGAAGCTCAGTTCTGAAGACTGGTTTATTTCATAGTCAAGCTCATTTTTGTTACCCCCCCCCCCGCCCCGCCCCGTGTAGCCAGTGCTTTTTGTTTACATATGACTTTGTCATTCATGCTTTTCCTGCTTCTGTTTGGTCATTCTCACATTTTAATGTTTCATAATTTCACTTTTTTTTTCATAAAGTCGTTACTTTGCACTTGTTGACTGGGCCACATTTTAAATATGCCATTTCA